CAACCGGTCTGTCTGACAGCGTTATTAGAACCATACAAAATGCTAGAGCTTCATCGACTAGGTCTCTTTATGAATGCAAATGGGGCGTGTTTGAGCGTTGGTGCGCAACTAAACACGAGATTCCCTTTCAGTGTTCAGCGGCAGTCGTTCTATCATTTCTTCAGGATTTGATAGACCAAGGGAAAGCGTTTTCAACCATAAAAGTGTTTCTAGCTGCTATATCTGCTTGTCACATTGGTTTTGATAACAAAACTGTGGGGCAGCATCCTTTGGTATGCAGGTTCATGAAGGACGCGCGCCGCGCTTTGCCAGTTTCAAAACCGCTTTCCCCATCATGGGACTTGGGATTGGTGCTTGATGCTCTTTCTATGTCCCCATTTGAGCCGCTGGACAAGGTTGATTTCAAAATATTGTCATTTAAGACAGCACTGCTGTTAGCTTTGGCTTCGGCAGTTTATACAGAAAGAACCAGAGGGTTCAGGGAGAGTGATCAGCTTTTCATACTGTATCTTGGATGAAACCTCATACGGGGAAGCCGATTACTAAACAACGTTTATCGCACTGGATAGTGGAGGCGATTTCGTTGGCATATTCCAGTAAGGGCCTTGTGTCCCCACCTGGTTTACGTGCACACTCAACAAGGGGAATGTCAACTTCGTGGGCTCTATTTAAAGGAGTCACGTTACAGGATATTTGCGAAGCGGCGAGTTGGTCCTCACCGCATACATTTGCAAGGTTTTATAAACTGGATGTTACAGCTCAAACTTTAGCACATGCAGTATTGAGCGTAGGAATGTGAGTCACGAGTCATGACTCGTTCAGCCCCGGATGCGATGATTGTGGTTGGCAGGAGACTTCGAGGCAGGCTATCTGGCAATCTGGGAGTTAGGATATCCCATAGTGAGACACCGAAATGTATGCTTGAAAGAGAACAATAGGTTACTTGCGTAAACCCGGTTCTCTGATAGCATTAAAGGGTTAGTTCACCCAAAAATGAAAATTAGCCCATAAATTACTCACCCTCAAGTCATCCTAGGTGTATATGACTTTCTTCTTTCAGACGAATCCAGTCGGAGTTATATTAAAAATGGTCTTTGATCTTTCAAGCTGGCTTTACTAATGTAAGGTAACTTTGCTTCCTTTGCTCCTGTTAACAAACGTTGGTTTTCACGAGACTCACTGGCCCATGCGCAGCGCTGACCTCATAGGTCATTCCCCCGGAACTGCTTCCAGTGTACAACAGTGAGCGCAAGCTACATTAAAGTGATTATTACATTTTGAAACATTGTGGGATCCAATTAGATCTTAGAGTTCGATGTGCTGTAAACATTTGTAATTGTTGTTCTGAGTTGTAATGCTTTTTTACAGTCAGTTTTTCTGTTCATCTCACTGTTTCTTCAGAGTGAAGAGAGCTGATGTGATCAGATCAGTGAGGCCCCATCTGACCTGCACTGACTCCGACTGTCAGACCCTCATCAGACAGAGAGTCAAAGACCAGCACAAAGCCAGCATGAAGCACAAGTATGAGAGCTTATTTGAGGGAATGAAACTAGAAGAGAATCAAACCCTCCTGAACAGGATTTACACACAGCTCTACATCATAGGGGAGAGAGTGAAGGGGTGAATGAAGAAAATGAGGTTTTACAGATGGAGAAAACAGCCAGAACACAAGACACTGCAATCTACTGTAATGACATCTTTAAACCCTTACATGAACCAGGATGTGAGGAGAAAGACCAAATCAAGACTGTTCTTACGAAAGGCATCGCTGGAATTGGAAAAACCGTCTCTGTGCAGAAGTTTATTCTGGGCTGGACCGAGGGAAAAGCCAATCAGGATGTAGATTTCATGTTTGTGCTTCCATTTCGAGAGCTAAACTTGATCAAAGAAGACCAGTACAGTCTTCACATACTTCTGCTGGACTTTCATCCTGAACTTAAAGATCTGGACTCAAAGATTTATGAGGAGTGTAAAGTTGTGTTCATCTTTGATGGTCTGGATGAAAGCAGAATTACACTGATGTTTTCAGACATTGAGAAAGTTTGTGTGAGTGTGTTGATGTCAAACCTCATCAGAGGAGAGCTGATTCCCTCTGCTCTCATCTGGATCACCTCCAGACCAGCAGCAGCCAATCAAATCCCCTCAAAATACATCAGCCGTATGACAGAAATTCAGGGATTCAATGAGCCTCAGGAGGAGGAATATTTCAGGAAGAGAATCAGTGACAAGCATCAAGCCAGCAGAATCATCTCACACATTAGAAGATCAAGAAACCTCCACATCATGTGTCACATTCCCGTCTTCTGCTGGATCTCAGTCTCTGTGCTTCAAAACCTCCTGAAACATCACAGTGCAAAAATCCCTCAAACTCTGACTGAAATGTACATCCACTTCCTGCTGACTCAGATCAACATAAGGAATCAGAAGTATGATGAGAGAAATCCATAGAAACTCCTGCAGTCCAACAGAGACGTGATTACAAGACTTGCTGAACTGGCTTTCAATCAGCTGATGAAGGGCAATGTGATGTTCTATGAGGAGGACCTGATTGAGAGTGGCATAGATGTCACTGATGCCTCAGTGTATTCTGGGATTTGCACTGAGATCTTTAAGCAGGAATCTGTGATTCATCAGAGGAAAGTCTACTGCTCCATACATCTGAGCTTTCAGGAGTTTCTAGCTGCTTTCTTTGTGCTTTACTCCCATGTAGACAAGAATGAGGAATCACTGAAGCCATTATTGAATAAAAGATATAGCTGGTACAGTCGGACAAACTCTCTGTATGAGCTACTAGAAGCAGCAGTTGATAATTCCTTACAGAGTAAAAATGGACACCTGGATCTTTTCCTGTGGTTCCTGCTGGGCTTCTCACTGGAGTCCAATCAGAGATTTACAGGATCTACTGAAACACACAGTGAACAGCTCAGCTCCATCAAGAAAATCACACAGTACATTAGACAAAATCAAGGGTGATGAAAATCTCTCAGCTGACAGATGCATCAATCTGTTCCTCTGTCTGCTGGAAATGAAGCATCAGACTCTGTACAGAGAGATTCAGGAGTTTGTGAAATCAGAGAATCGCTCAGTGAATCAACTCTCTCCGTCTCACTGCTCAACGATAGCCTACATGCTTCAGATATCAGAGGAGGTGCTGGATGAGTTTGATCTGAAGAAATACAACACATAAGATGAGGGTAGAAGGAGACTGATACCAGCTGTGCTGAACTGCAGAAAAGCTTTGTGAGTATTAATTTATGTAATCTGAGATTAAATCATGACACTGTTTTCTATAACATGACAATAATTTTGTCTTGAGCTTGTGCAGAACTTCAGTAAAGTTTAGTTAAATTGTAAGTCATTTAGTTACTTCATGAGATCCACTGTGTACTATATTCGATTCAACTTTTGTACCAAAAAAAGAAAGAAAAGTTTATTATGACAGAAGGCTCCAGAATTCCTGTAACCATACATAAGACAAGCTGTTTGGATGGATGAATTTTCCCAATCTTTTTCTGACCCTTAGAATTAAAACAGGCATTTTGTGTTCCCAGACTCAGGAACAGCACATTATATAATTATATATAATTTTATATAATGTATTATGTTGTTCTATAACAATATATTAGTTAAATGTCAGCTAGAGTAATATTATCTACTTTTGATGTTTCCTGCTTCACGTTACTGTAATGGGTGTTTTAGCACTAAATCGATGTTGCTGATAAACCATATTTCATCCTGTGTTACAGACTTGCTAACTGTTATCTCACTAGTCAGTGCTGTGAAAGTTTGTCTTCATTTCTACAATCATCAAACTCACTGAGAGAGCTGAAGCTGAGTAACAACGATCTGCAGGATTCAGGAGTGAAGCTGCTGTCTGATGGACTGAAGAGTTCTCACTGTCACCTCAACATACTGAGGTAAGAAAAACAGATAAAGCTTCACATGCTCATGAAATTAAATATGCTCTCTGTCTGGTTCGTTGTCAACAGGTGTTCACACTGTCAGCTCAACATACTGAGGTAAGAAAAGCAGATGTAAAGGTTCACTTGCATATAAAAATGAAGATTCCAAATTAAAGAGTTAAACACTGAACCTGTAATCAGTGATCTGTGGATAGAAATTGTTACATTGAATCAATGAATCATGTTATTTAAAGCAGAGTTAAAAGTCAAGTCACCTTTATTTATATAGCGCTTTTAACAATACAGATTGTGACAAAGCAACTGAACAGCATTAATTAGGAAAATAGTGTCAATAATGCAAAATGACAATAGTAAACACTCATTTTTCAGTTAAAGACAGTTCATCATTGAATTCAGTGATGTCAACATCCAGCTCAGTTCAGTTTAAATAATATCTTTGCAATCATGTCAACGATATCGCTGGAAATGAAGTGTCCCCAACTAAGCAAGCCAGAGGCGACAGCGGCAAGGAACCAAAACTCCATCGGTGACAGAATGGAGAAAAAACCTTGGGAGAAACCAGGCTCAGTCGGGGGGCCAGTTCTCCTCTGACCAGACGAACCAGCAGTACAGAAAAATCAATATAAGACGTAATAAAACAGACGATGAATCTGAACCCTCCTTAGTGTGAATCAGTTTAAGATAATCACCAGTCTTTATGAGCAGCCAGTATTTCTTCATGGGCAACAAATGAGTTGACATGTAAGTTCTCAGCTGACACAACCAAAAATAACATCTAAATATTGAAGAAACAAACACACCAAATTACAATATATTTCTGTCCAGTTTTATTTTGTCTACAGGTAAAAACAAAGTTAAAGTAAGATCTGTATATGAATATGATCTGAATATGGATTAATAGAAATTTAGCGTTAATAGAAATCAACATGTTGATAATCATAAGGGCTTGAGGGTTTCTACTTGATCCGTTTTATTGTCCCAGGTGATGTAAAATGTGTGTTGTGTAGATTATCTGGCTGTATGGTGACAGAGGAAGGCTGTTGTTTTCTGGCTTCAGCTCTGAGTTCAAACCCCTCACACCTGAGAGAGCTGGATCTGAGCTACAATCACCCAGGACAAGCATTAGTCAAGCTGCTCTCTGATCCAAACTACAGACTGGACAAACTCGTATGTAACACTAACAATCATCCTGTCATGTGTTTGGACTTGTGTGCTATAAAATCATTGAAAACTGTTGCTGGTTGACAGATTTGGTCAATTTTGTTATTGTGTTTGACAGGCAGACTAAAATTGATCAATTGTGGAAACAAATGGAGTGTAAACTTCTAGTTTCAGTTAAAGTGTAAAGAAGTGTACATCAGCTACAACAATAAAACCACTTGCATAATATTGTGTAGGTCCCCCTTGTGCTGCTAAAACGGCTCTGATGGGTCAGGTTATGAACTCTGATCTGGGGAATTTGAAGGCTGAGGCAACACCTTGAGCTCTTTGTAATGTTCACCAAACAATTTTTGCAGTGTGGCAGGGTGCATTATCCTGCTGAAAGAAACCATTGCACCACTGAACACCACTTCTACGAAGGGGTGAATGTGGTCTGGAATAATGTTTGGGTAGGTGGTACGTGTCAAAGTCCATATTAATGCCAGGACCCAAGATTTCTCAAATCATAACACTGCCTTCGCCGGCCTTCTTCTCATAGTGTATCCGCCTGCCGTCTCTTCCCCATATAAATGACCCATAGGCACCCGATCATCCACCTGATCTAAAAGAAAACGTGATTCATCAGATCAGGAAACCTTCTTCCATTGCTCCATGGTCCAGTTCTGACACTCATTTGCCCATTGTTGGTGCATTTGGTGGTGGATAGGGGTTACCATGGGCACTCAGCACTCGGCTACGCAGCAAATTACAATGCACTGTGTGTTCTGACACCTTTCTATCATGACCAGTATTAAGATTTTCAGCAATTTGAGTTACAGTAGCTCTTCTGTGATCGAACCAGATGGGACAGCCTTTGCATGCATGAACCTTGGGTGCCTCTGACCCTGACTCAGGGTCACGGTTGTCCTTCCTTGCCCCACTTTTGATAGCTACTAACCACTGCATACCAGGAACACCCTACAAGCCTTGCTGTTTTGGAGATGTTCTGACCTGGTTGTCTAGCCATCACTATTTGACCATGTCAAAGTCACTCTTTTCGCTTGCCCATTTTTTTCTGCTTCCAACATATGAAATTCAAGAACTGACTGTTCACTTGCTAATGTATACTTGCTTGTATAATATATCCTACCTCTTTACCAGTGCCATTGTAACAATATAATTAATGTTATTTACTTCACCTGTCAGTGGTTTTAATGTTGTGGCTTATCATTGAATGCTGTTTACTTCAATCAAAAATGAAACTTTTTGTTTTTACCTTCATATCATTCCATATTTATGACTTTCATATTTCTTATATCATGGTACAGATATGCATAAACATTTACCATTGTATACTGTATGCATGGTTGTTTGCATTGTGTCCAGTTAGGACTCTGTATGGGGTTTTCTTTTGGTTTTGTGAGAGCAGGTTTTTTTTTGTAGGTGTACTATTTCACTTTCTTCATTATGTAAATTGAGTGTGACATCTTGTTTTTATAGTGTGGATCATGGAGGAAAGTGCAAGATTATACCAGGACCACAGAAATGTAGGTCACACACACATACACTCTAACAATTCATTTTTTGTGTTACAAATGTTATAATCTCTCTTCTTTGTTCAGATGCATGTGATCTCACACTGGATTTAAACACAGCACACACTGGTCTCATTCTGTCTGAGAGGAGCAGAAAGATGACGTGTGTGACAGACGAGCAGCCGTATCCTGATCATCCAGACAGATTTGAATGTCAACAGGTTCTGTGTAGAGAGAGCTTGACTGTTTTTCTAACAGAGTAGGAGTGTATCTGGACTGGTCGGCCGGCACTCTGTCCTTCTACAGTGTCTCTGACACACACACACTCACACTCACACACTCACACACACATTCAACACCACATTCACTGAATTCTATGTTGGATTTGGAGTTGACTCTGATAGTTCAGTCACTCTATGTGAGATGAAACCGCTTTCTGTGAGAAACAACGGAGACACAGTTGAGTGAAAGGAACACATCATAAGCTTTATTTAACCAAGAAAGAAATGACATATTTGCTATAGTTTAATGTTTTTAGTAGTTTTATGAACAGTTGTCTAAACTGCAATAAACATAACATTAAAAATGTAGTTTTAAAAAGCTCAACCATTCAAACAAAAGTTAGTTGACCCCCTGAGGTGGATGAACATTTTCTGAAGACCTACTTTCACTGATGCTTTGTTAGAATGGAAAAACACGGTGATCTCACGCTGGCTCTGTTTAATTCCACATGTGAGTTGATGTTGTGTTCTCAGTGTTATGGTAAAGCTGACCTCATTCACTTCACTACACCTGTTGGATTGCTGGACATCTGCTGTTCACTCAGAGCATCAGAGACAAAACCCAAGTTATCTACAGACTCCCAGCTTTGTTTATTACTTAATCATTTTATAAAGATAATGAGAAAAATACATCATTAACTAACCTGCTCCCCAGCTTGCTAAGGTCACTGTGAAATTTAGTTTGAGAGAATTGTATTATATAAACCAGTAGCCTAATATATTTGGTTATATGTTGTTGTATACACAAATATTTTCTCATTACCTTTTTATGTCACTGCTTTTATTGAGCGTTTGTTATATTACATGTATATGCATAAAACAAGGTTGAACTGTATGTATGTATACATTTTAAATATATAAAACAGAATTTAGTAATAAATGAATTCACTCACTTACTAGTTCATTAAATATGCACCCTTGCTCTGCTCCAGAGTTTGAAAGGAGTTCCCAGGGACATGCGCAGTCCTTTAAAGTTGGTCTTGGGGATGGAGCATAGAAATGCAATAAACTTTTTTCTTTTTTGTTTTAGAAGTGCAAGAAACTTTTTTATTTTTATTTTTTTGAAATGCAATAAACTGATAAAAGGAAAATTACTGTGAACCTCGTCATAAAATGGGCGGGGATCGCGGCCTGGAGGCTAAACAATAATTGTTATATTTTAGACTCTCAGACTGTATTTTCAATTAAACAGTAGTTGAAGTTTCTGAGTACTGTTATGCATGTGTAAATTATTGTACCGACCGCGGTCGAGGTAACGCGCAGAGCGGTTTTGTTCACGTGGTACCTGTTACTTTACTCAGCGCTGGTAAGCCTGGACTAATCAAAGTCGAATGTGATTACCTTAAGATGCTATTTCAACTAATTTTATAGTAAGAGCTGTCAGAGATTTTTTTTTACATTTATATGCAGATAATAATCCTTAACATAAACGATTACACATTTTATTGCATAAACGTCTCTAACAAGACAAAAAAAGTCTTTGGATTTGAATGCGGCTCAATGGCGGATTGTGCTTTTGAGCCACCAAGCGCCCCCTGGAGGAAACCAGGTGTATATCTCCTTGGAAACAGCTGAAGGTGGGGCGAATCGGGAGTTTCGCTGTGAATATGCAAAGCCACCAGCCGTCCGTGACGCTCCTAATGTGCTCGTTTCGGGTAGTTTACGATTTTTGTATCCATCAGCCTCTCCATGCAAATAAGCAGCCGGAGGCAGTGTGCTGATGCTGTCTGAGGGAAACTGCAGCGCGGACTTCAGTGTGTTACATGACTGTAGGTGCTGAAATCAAACCTGCTGCGTAAGTCTACACCGAGAGACACGCTGTATTGTGGCATATGGAGAAAACCAGAGGAGCTTTGCCAGGGAAAGGTAAAGTTTTACATGCATTATATTGCACGCACTGTTCACGTGTTTTAACCCACATAAATGTGTTTTTATCCTTTATATCATTTAATCTTACATGCATATGGTCTGCTGTTCCTGTCTGGAATTGCATGTTGAATAATGTTCAGACATGAGGAACCCCATTACACTGCTGACCCTGCAGTCCTGCATGAAATATCAGAATATTTTAATATGTATAATGCAATGTGAGGTGGGCGTAGGTGTGCTACACCCTTTAATGAAATGAAGAATATAATTTCATTTGACATGTCTATTAATGTGTTTTCATATTAGACAATTCCTGAAGACTTTATTTGGATTTGTAATATCTGGTTACTGTGTTTCCTAGCTGGTTGGAGCAGGTTGTGTGTTTGTAGGCTCACACAAACGTGTTGGGATGTTTACACTGGCTCCTGTTAATTCAGATTTAACAATTGGGATTGAGAAGGGCTGAGTGAAGTGATATGTGAGAAAATGTGTCCTTAAATATTATTTACTCACTGCCCATATTCCAATTACTCACAAATGGTCTCACTGTGTGTGTGTGTATGTATATTATGCATTTCTGTTTTAAATGCACAAATTAATCCAATGTGGATTAACTCATGTTAACTCATGAAGAAAGGTCATATTTAAGATCAATATTAAAGAAAACAAAATCAGAAATAATATTTCTGATTTATAATATAATATAATATTTTCTTCATTATGAAAATGAAGTATTTACGTTGAGATTATTTTACATGACACCATTTAAACATTATTTTCATGACGAATAAGCACTTTTCTCCCCAAAATTCACAATACTGTAACACAAGAAAATCTTGTTCTCATTACAGTAATACTATAATGAAAGTCTGGATGCAGTGATTTTGAATTAAAATAAGCATTAATTAAATTCAGTAAAACAGATACTGCCATATTGTATTACTTTTTTCCTAATTTATATTTTATTTAATACGTTAGCATTTCACATTTTTCTTTCACATGCACTAATGCATTTAAAAAAAAAAAAAGTTTTTGCAGTAATGCAATTGTCACAAAAAAAAAATCATAAGGCTCCTAAAATAGGTTTGATTTTCTTTATGCAAAACATAACTTTATACATTTTCATTTGATTTTAGAGTTGAAATCTGACCCGACACATTCTTGAAGGGTTTTTGTGAGGTTCACCTAGATAATGGATTGTTGGTTTTGGTTTATAGCTGCTATAACAGCTGTTTAAATGGTCTTTCCTGCTACAGTAACTGTTTACAAGTTGGGCTTTACATAAGCTTGATTTGCCAGACACAAAACTGATGAAGTTAACCAGTTAAAATGGCTCATTTGTTTATTGCACACTGGCTTCAGATGAGTCTGGTGGTGTCTGTATTTTATTTGACAAATATCCTTGTTTTAAATTAGTCTTTTAATATATGTCATTATAGGTATCCAGTATCAGTCGTAGCCACGTCCTAAAGCCCCGTTTGAAGGATCCATTGAAGACCACCCTGATCAAAGGCAGCTTCTGTAGTCTTGTATGAATGTGAGAGGATGCATAAGACTGTCCAAGGGTCTGATCAAAGCGTGCACTGACCCGAGACGCCAGTCAACATCAGGTATCCATGAGGACAGAACAGGAAGAAGATGGAAGCGGTCGATACCTTACACACTATGTGTTCTGTGTAGAGAATAAACCCTTGTGCTTGCATTCGGCCTCTCAGTCCTGTCCCGCTGTGTTCTGCCATTCAAGCATGGGGCACATTGTGGATTTACCTTTGCGAAGGATGTGGCCCTTGGCTGCTCTGCTGGTCCTGTCCCAGTTCACGAGCAGCCTGGGCATCCACATGGATTCGGTGGGCAGTCACAGCATGTTCACCTGCGAGTCAATCGGCCTCCGAATGTGCCAGGATCTTCCCTACAACACCACCTTCATGCCCAACCTCCTCAACCACTACGACCAGCAGACCGCCGCTCTGGCGATGGAGGTAACCATGCTTTTCCTTCTGTCTTATACAGCTGGGATTTAGAGAAGGTGGCAGGAAAACTAGGTTGCCATGGAGCTGTTTGTCGTGGAAGCTTGTGGTTTGTGGTTGGTGCTTTGATGAGCTTGAATAATTTAGACTGACGGTGCCTCTTGATAAGTGAAATAAGCTTTATTTGATATTTTTAAAACTTAAATGTGAGGGCTGCGGTATTGTAATTGCTATTTTTAGGGGTTTGTTAATGTTAATTTTAATCTTCAAGTTGTAACATGTTGTTAAAGTGCATTTCTTTTATAACTACAGCTTGATCTCGTATCGTCTAATCTGCATCTGTGGCGTCCAGCTAGCTTTTGATCTCTAAAAATATCTTCAATTACAGTTGTACTTATTGAAAATATCTTTAGGTTTTGAGATGCATTATGGCCTTTTCCATAAAATGTACAGTGTGATTTTGCTTCTTTATGCAAATTGTTTGTGTTAGAACCCCCAAAATTATGGTCTCTGACTATTTATCCAGTTAGGATATGCAGTTAATTAAGTATAATTGCAAATAATGCAGTTTTTAATTAATTTAAAAAAAAAATTATTTATTGAAAAAAAATTGTAAAATTGTATATATATATATATACAATTGTATGTATATATACAATTGTATGTATATATATATTTATTTTATATTAAAAAAAAATTCTTAAATTATAACCTACCAAATTTTAACGAAATGAAAAAATATATATATTTTGAACAGTCAGATTATAATGACATTTAAAGGAGACATATTATGCCCCTTTTTACAATATGTAATCTAAGTCTCTGGTGTCCCCAGAATGTGTCTGTGAAGTTTCAGCTCCAAATACTCCACAGATCATTTATTATAACATTTTGAAGATGCTTATTTTGAGTAGAAGCAGAAATAAGCTGTTTTTCGGGCCTGTTTCTTTAAATGCAAATGAGCTGCTGCTCCCCGCCCCCTTTTCCAGAATAGAGCTGCACAATTACAGCTCGGACCTGCTAAAAACATCTGTTTTTGGTTCAGATTATCATGTTTATTGTGCTGAAATCATGTGTTTTAAACCATATGAGTTTAAACTTCTGATATACGGTTTTCTGAGCGCACACATCTGAAGCACCCCACTTTTGATAGCTACTAACCACTGCATACCAGGAACACCCTACAAGCCTTGCTGTTTTGGAGATGTTCTGACCTGGTTGTCTAGCCATCACTATTTGACCATGTCAAAGTCACTCTTTTCGCTTGCCCATTTTTTTCTGCTTCCAACATATGAAATTCAAGAACTGACTGTTCACTTGCTAATGTATACTTGCTTGTATAATATATCCTACCTCTTTACCAGTGCCATTGTAACAATATAATTAATGTTATTTACTTCACCTGTCAGTGGTTTTAATGTTGTGGCTTATCATTGAATGCTGTTTACTTCAATCAAAAATGAAACTTTTTGTTTTTACCTTCATATCATTCCATATTTATGACTTTCATATTTCTTATATCATGGTACAGATATGCATAAACATTTACCATTGTATACTGTATGCATGGTTGTTTGCATTGTGTCCAGTTAGGACTCTGTATGGGGTTTTCTTTTGGTTTTGTGAGAGCAGGTTTTTTTTTGTAGGTGTACTATTTCACTTTCTTCATTATGTAAATTGAGTGTGACATCTTGTTTTTATAGTGTGGATCATGGAGGAAAGTGCAAGATTATACCAGGACCACAGAAATGTAGGTCACACACACATACACTCTAACAATTCATTTTTTGTGTTACAAATGTTATAATCTCTCTTCTTTGTTCAGATGCATGTGATCTCACACTGGATTTAAACACAGCACACACTGGTCTCATTCTGTCTGAGAGGAGCAGAAAGATGACGTGTGTGACAGACGAGCAGCCGTATCCTGATCATCCAGACAGATTTGAATGTCAACAGGTTCTGTGTAGAGAGAGCTTGACTGTTTTTCTAACAGAGTAGGAGTGTATCTGGACTGGTCGGCCGGCACTCTGTCCTTCTACAGTGTCTCTGACACACACACACTCACACTCACACACTCACACACACATTCAACACCACATTCACTGAATTCTATGTTGGATTTGGAGTTGACTCTGATAGTTCAGTCACTCTATGTGAGATGAAACCGCTTTCTGTGAGAAACAACGGAGACACAGTTGAGTGAAAGGAACACATCATAAGCTTTATTTAACCAAGAAAGAAATGACATATTTGCTATAGTTTAATGTTTTTAGTAGTTTTATGAACAGTTGTCTAAACTGCAATAAACATAACATTAAAAATGTAGTTTTAAAAAGCTCAACCATTCAAACAAAAGTTAGTTGACCCCCTGAGGTGGATGAACATTTTCTGAAGACCTACTTTCACTGATGCTTTGTTAGAATGGAAAAACACGGTGATCTCACGCTGGCTCTGTTTAATTCCACATGTGAGTTGATGTTGTGTTCTCAGTGTTATGGTAAAGCTGACCTCATTCACTTCACTACACCTGTTGGATTGCTGGACATCTGCTGTTCACTCAGAGCATCAGAGACAAAACCCAAGTTATCTACAGACTCCCAGCTTTGTTTATTACTTAATCATTTTATAAAGATAATGAGAAAAATACATCATTAACTAACCTGCTCCCCAGCTTGCTAAGGTCACTGTGAAATTTAGTTTGAGAGAATTGTATTATATAAACCAGTAGCCTAATATATTTGGTTATATGTTGTTGTATACACAAATATTTTCTCATTACCTTTTTATGTCACTGCTTTTATTGAGCGTTTGTTATATTACATGTATATGCATAAAACAAGGTTGAACTGTATGTATGTATACATTTTAAATATATAAAACAGAATTTAGTAATAAATGAATTCACTCACTTACTAGTTCATTAAATATGCACCCTTGCTCTGCTCCAGAGTTTGAAAGGAGTTCCCAGGGACATGCGCAGTCCTTTAAAGTTGGTCTTGGGGATGGAGCATAGAAATGCAATAAACTTTTTTCTTTTTTGTTTTAGAAGTGCAAGAAACTTTTTTATTTTTATTTTTTTGAAATGCAATAAACTGATAAAAGGAAAATTACTGTGAACCTCGTCATAAAATGGGCGGGGATCGCGGCCTGGAGGCTAAACAATAATTGTTATATTTTAGACTCTCAGACTGTATTTTCAATTAAACAGTAGTTGAAGTTTCTGAGTACTGTTATGCATGTGTAAATTATTGTACCGACCGCGGTCGAGGTAACGCGCAGAGCGGTTTTGTTCACGTGGTACCTGTTACTTTACTCAGCGCTGGTAAGCCTGGACTAATCAAAGTCGAATGTGATTACCTTAAGATGCTATTTCAACTAATTTTATAGTAAGAGCTGTCAGAGATTTTTTTTTACATTTATATGCAGATAATAATCCTTAACATAAACGATTACACATTTTATTGCATAAACGTCTCTAACAAGACAAAAAAAGTCTTTGGATTTGAATGCGGCTCAATGGCGGATTGTGCTTTTGAGCCACCAAGCGCCCCCTGGAGGAAACCAGGTGTATATCTCCTTGGAAACAGCTGAAGGTGGGGCGAATCGGGAGTTTCGCTGTGAATATGCAAAGCCACCAGCCGTCCGTGACGCTCCTAATGTGCTCGTTTCGGGTAGTTTACGATTTTTGTATCCATCAGCCTCTCCATGCAAATAAGCAGCCGGAGGCAGTGTGCTGATGCTGTCTGAGGGAAACTGCAGCGCGGACTTCAGTGTGTTACATGACTGTAGGTGCTGAAATCAAACCTGCTGCGTAAGTCTACACCGAGAGACACGCTGTATTGTGGCATATGGAGAAAACCAGAGGAGCTTTGCCAGGGAAAGGTAAAGTTTTACATGCATTATATTGCACGCACTGTTCACGTGTTTTAACCCACATAAATGTGTTTTTATCCTTTATATCATTTAATCTTACATGCATATGGTCTGCTGTTCCTGTCTGGAATTGCATGTTGAATAATGTTCAGACATGAGGAACCCCATTACACTGCTGACCCTGCAGTCCTGCATGAAATATCAGAATATTTTAATATGTATAATGCAATGTGAGGTGGGCGTAGGTGTGCTACACCCTTTAATGAAATGAAGAATATAATTTCATTTGACATGTCTATTAATGTGTTTTCATATTAGACAATTCCTGAAGACTTTATTTGGATTTGTAATATCTGGTTACTGTGTTTCCTAGCTGGTTGGAGCAGGTTGTGTGTTTGTAGGCTCACACAAACGTGTTGGGATGTTTACACTGGCTCCTGTTAATTCAGATTTAACAATTGGGATTGAGAAGGGCTGAGTGAAGTGATATGTGAGAAAATGTGTCCTTAAATATTATTTACTCACTGCCCATATTCCAATTACTCACAAATGGTCTCACTGTGTGTGTGTGTATGTATATTATGCATTTCTGTTTTAAATGCACAAATTAATCCAATGTGGATTAACTCATGTTAACTCATGAAGAAAGGTCATATTTAAGATCAATATTAAAGAAAACAAAATCAGAAATAATATTTCTGATTTATAATATAATATAATATTTTCTTCATTATGAAAATGAAGTATTTACGTTGAGATTATTTTACATGACACCATTTAAACATTATTTTCATGACGAATAAGCACTTTTCTCCCCAAAATTCACAATACTGTAACACAAGAAAATCTTGTTCTCATTACAGTAATACTATAATGAAAGTCTGGATGCAGTGATTTTTTATTAAAATAAGCATTAATTAAATTCAGTAAAACAGATACTGCCATATTGTATTATTTTTTTCCTAATTTATATTTTATTTAATACGTTAGCATTTCACATTTTTCTTTCACATGCACTAATGCATTTAAAAAAAAAAAAAGTTTTTGGAGTAATGCAATTGTCACAAAAAAAAAATCATAAGGCTCCTAAAATAGGTTTGATTTTCTTTATGCAAAACATAACTTTATACATTTTCATTTGATTTTAGAGTTGAAATCTGACCCGACACGTTCTTGAA